AGCATCACTCATCCTTGGACCCATTTGCCAAATTCTGGGGTAAGGAATTATTGCCAACCAAATTAGGCGCCATACATAGAGAAATAAAGTTAAAAAAAAAAAAAAAAAAAAAAACGTGAAATTAAGATTAAGTTTAAAACGCGAAAAATCAATGATGTTTTCGCCAGGATGCGTACTCCGGACCTTCCGATTGTCAGGAGGACTTGCTTCCATGAAGGCAAGCGTTAATGAGGGAGAAAATATCTTAGAACGTTATTTTAACTGTTCGAGAAAAAATAGAAACTTAGTGAATGATAATGTTAACAAATATAATACTCTAACGTAAGTGAAGGGGGCGTTGCTTCCTTGTATGTATAATGGTCTTTTTCATGCTGTTATTTTTTCAATTATTGGGATGAACAGTTAAATTTTTTTTTTGTTTACAATACACTAGAAAACCACTCATCCAGATTTGCATGACTAGCCACCTAGGCTATGATCTAATCATCCTCATCTCAAATTCCAACATTTTTAATCTGAGGATTATTATTATTAAATATTAAAAGAAAAAGACTTTATTTTACTGTTAATGCGTTAGTAGTGTAGTAATGTCTCAATACTTTGGGAGCTGATTCTTATTCCTTGAAGAAGTAATTAAAAGTTCTTTGTATGTTAGATAGATCCAAAAAAGTAACCGCATAGTCATTCTCAAATCTAAACAGACATTCCGTAGCATGAATCTAGTCTGAAAGCAATAAATGTTTCTTTCATTTTTCTTCTCATGTGATATGCGCACAAAGGGAAGATAAATAAAGAGGCTGTTAGCACATTTTATACAACCATTCTTCGGTATCTAAAGCAAATATAGAAAACATTGTCCATGAGAAAGGTAAAAGTTGTCAATGAGAAAAGCAAAAGTTCTCAATGAGAAAGTCCAAGTTTGACTGAAGGAGAAAATTTGTTGAAAATACATATGCAAAGAAATAAAGGAATGTTTCGAATGTTGCAGAGGTAAGAACTGTATGTTAAAAGAAAAACTTCGAAGACAAAGAACAGTTGCTTAATCATTAAAATGATCAGTGTCAACTGTAAACAAAGTTCTTAAAGAGACGGTGGACTTTAATAATTAGTTTTTTAAGTTTTTGTGTTTTCAACATGAACTTTTATACATATATATATTCTAACATCAGTTTGTAAAATATATGTTCAAAATTTCAATTTATTTTAAATAAAAAAATTTTAAACAAATTATTAATTATTTTAATTAAACGTTTAAAATGCTCCTTGCGCGCTAATTTTCAATATTTTTTCCTATTTTTTAAGTTAGGTATAAAGACTTGGCAAACGTTTTTGTGTATCCGTTATTGAATATGATGGATCAGGAATTTTAAAAAGGATTTTTGTGAACTTAAACCCAGTTTTCGGAAAAATTTCACCTTTTTGTTAAACATTATCACAGGCTTAAACTTCTTAATAACCTCGTATCCGAAAATTCATACACAGATCTACTGTAACATATAACAAGGTAGCTTATTCCAAATGCCATTCATTTTTAAGTAAAAATGAGACGCATGTAGCATTTTCAAGACATACGAACTGCGAAAAAAGTTTTTTGAGGAACGCGAATTTAAAGTTTTGCTTCAAACTTATCTTTAATACATGGTCATGAGAAACAGTAAATTAAATTTAAGTTATGAATATGTAAAACACTAGATAACATTTTCGTATCATTTAACTATTTTTAATCTCATAATAGTAAGTATAAGAAAAATAAACATATCGTAAATTGGTATGTGATTCGAAGTTAGAGGTAGAAACAATTTAGACATTATATCCAATGAAACTTTTAAAATTCGCCCGCATCATATATTTTAATTTCATTTGTTACATTTACATTATCTTTTAATGCTTTACAATATATTTACTATTTTTTTTTTCAAACAGATAAACTTCTTTTTCAAAGCTTCAAGCGGCTTTGATCACGCATTTTTGCAATGAGTAGGGAAAACGAGTTTGTTTCTTCCGGTTCTAGGCGTATAGAATTTACATAACGAAAGTTAAATTCGTTAATAGTTGCCAATACTGACATTTCTAGCTTCGTTTTAGGAATAAACACTTCTTTTGGGCAAATATATAAATTATAACACCAATAAATAACTGTTAAAATACATTTTTTTACATCTCCAAAATTTAAATGGCAACGTTTACGTTGTTTACACATTTTAAATGCTTGTAACTTCTTTAAAAATTAGAATATTTGAACTCCGTGTTTACATACGATGTAGTTACGTATATGGAATATTACGAGTGTAAAAAAACTAATTCAATATTTTGGTTGATTTTTAGCTATCTTAAAGTCCACTGTTCCCTTAATGCCAATTTGAATCTTTCAAAAGCGTAATGTGAATCGTCTTTTTCTACGTCATATTGCCATAAATCTTAGACATGGTTCAAAGAATCTTAGGAGAAGACAAAAGTCTTAGAACATGGTTTAAAGCATCTAAGGAATGTTTTTGAAAGGGATTTATGATTGTTGCTGATTTTTCATATAATGACAAATAAAAATTAAACAGAGTGCACAAAACTGTTAAGGTCAACTCCACATATTACAAGGAACATATTTTATACCCAATTCTTCAAATATGAAATACCTTCTCTTTAAGCACAGTTCCATAATCAGTAGAACTGCCTCAAGACAAAGCAAGCAGCCACAAGCCAAAACTCACTTACGTTTCTGTAAAAAGTGGAACAAAAAACGTGTATCAAGACCATAAGTTTCATTCATATCCCTAATAAATCTCCTGATGTATCGTCCACGGATGTTTGCGCTTCTGGACTTTCAAATAGGCTTATTGTCCAGACGTCGACCTACGACCCTCCTTGAACTTTGAAAAGCTGTTTAAGCGGTTGGGATAAAATACCTCTTCCGTAACTACAGAAAGCTTTATTTTCTTCGAAATTACGGTGCAGAAAGATAGTGTTAAAGGTTATCAAAGTGAACATATAAAACACAAAAATTATTAGCAAAATATTTCTGTAAATAAATGGAAATTCGTCTAAAAATGTGCACACAACCTCTGTATTAAATAATGTCGCCAATTCATCGTTAAATCATCTTCTCAAATGAGTGCTGTGAAGAAATCATCTTTATTTAAATTTAATCTGGAATTATATAGATATCAACCGAATATTATACAAGCAGATTAGCAATTACATCAAATTGTTTTAACGGTAGGATTCCTTGCCCACTTGACTCGTAACCTGAGCGAGCGATGTCATCCGACAAGAACTCATTTCCAGTCATATCTGTTGGCAGGCAAAGGAAATTTTACGATTGGTTCATCCTCTCATAGTGCAATAACGTTATTGGTTGAGATGTATAGTTGGCAGCTTAACTACAGGAAATAGCAGTGGAAGGAAATGAAATTAGTCAAACAGAAATCATACGTTCCCACAGAACTATAAGATCATCAGCTAATTTATGCTCTCAAAGAGTCATCCTGCCCTGTTACTTCACCACTGCTTTATTGTTAAAAATTTCCTCCTGAAATATTTGGATTCTGAGCAACTCACAGTACACACACCGAATCCTTAGAATTATAAAGGCAACATCACATGGGTTTAACTGCAAATTACTCCCTGGTGCTGTCGTTTTAGACACAGCTAAAGCATTTGCAGAGTGTGGCTCAAAAACTTCCTTTATAACCTCATTAAACTCAAATTGTTTGCTTCAATCCTTCCCCAAGGCGGTGTTCCGGACACTAATCCTTACAACATTTGAATTCATGATATCCCACATGATCTCAAAATGGAACTTTCATTGTTTGTCGATGATACTGCCATCTTCACGCAAGTTGTGAACATCAAAACAGTACCGGAAAGTATCAACCTTATCTGAAACTCCTTGAACAATGGTGCACAAAATGGCATTTCTCGGTAAGAACGCAAACTTTTCTGCCATCATTTTTTGGAAAGGAAAACCAAATAAGCATGTGCCCGAACTCAGTTTATTTGATTTACCCGCTGCCTGGAAAACCTACCTTGTAGTCAATCTAGATTCCAGACTTACCTTCAGTCATCATGTAAAGGAAGTTATAGGAAAATACAACTGCATGTCTGCAACATGCGACCTCTCCTCGAACTCCCCAGTGAGCTCTCCCTCAGTAGCAAAATATCATCCTGTACAATTAAATACTTACACCTGTTCTCTTCTTTTTCCTCTTCGATCTGAGTCAAGCTGCAAATACGTGCATGCATAACATACAAATCATTCAGAACAAGTTGCTTCGAAAATCACAAACGTCCGCTGTAACGTTAAGAACTCTGTCATTCATAAAGACCTGAAACTTGACTGCATAAATGACGACATCAAAAACAATCTAATCAAATTTTATTCTTTTTGTCAAATATCTTCAAATCTTACTTATTGCTATTCAAACGAATACACAATTTCTAATAGAAATATACGCGTGTTCGACTAAAACCACTCTTTTCCATAACCATATTCCATAATTGTCAGACATGTTGTACCAGTAATTCTTCGTTTTTCTATCATTTCAAATTTGGGTCACATCACCAGTCAGGCATACACTTCTATCTATATTTCGTTACATTTTAATTACCACAAATTTTTAGTCTTACCTCTGCATTCTTCCCAGAACTCTTACTAGATTTTCAGTGTAAATAAATATGCTTCATCGCTTCTATGCAGATTAAAGTCTAAAGTACACATTTATAATAAAGGGAGTAAAAGAGGCTCGTTTTATCCAATTATCGTATGATCCAATCCAGTTCAATCAACCCAGAGTTGGCTTTTGGTTTCGTAGCAGCGGTAGATATTTTGTTTTTCCGGTGACCAGCTGTTCAAATGGATTGAATTTTCCATCCGTCCAGTTGCATTTGTAATTTTCCTTTGTGTTTCAGTCGTGTTAGCCAATTACCCATGTCAGATAAAGAAGGATTTGTTTTTCTAATACTCGCAATTAGCAAAAAGAAACAAGGAAACTATGTAACTCACTCACCAAGACATTTCCCGCCGGTGTCCCGCAAAGGTTAATACTTCGCCTTATGTTATGTCTTTTTACGTCTACAATTTTCCACAATTTGAAGACAATATAAATTATCTGTCGGATTGATAGACGAAGGACAGCACAGGTTTTTCTAAATCTAGAAGAGAAAGAATACAAGATAAATTGGTCGAAGTAGAAGAATGGAAAATTATAAATTTTTGAAGTAAAAGATGATATATTAATATCAACCCAGAAACTCAAGGCTGCTCGTGGTTCACAGATACAATCAGGAAGATAATATTACAGTACGTATTAACCTTTTTGACAGTTAACTACTTTTGGTAACACAGAGCGAACTGCCTTCTCTAAGATTTCTTCTAAAAGAAGCATTTTAAAAAAGGATGCTGTCAAAGTATCCGGTTTAATTCTCAAACTCAGGCTTATTCTTAGTAATGGTTGTAAATTAAATCCTAACCTCAAGAAGCATGTTCACATCTCAGTAGTTAGGCCGATATTTATTATGCAAGTCTCTTCTGCCTGGGCAAATCCTCTTGACAGGTAAGAAACGTTGTCCTTTACAAATAGCCTACTATTCGTAAACTTATTAGCAATAAAAAATTCTACAATGAAGTGAAAATTCTACAGTGAAGCGCGTTCACGTAATCTGCAGACAATTTTTACAATCTAATTGTAAGCGAATTAGATTGAAATCGATTAGATTAGATTGATCAAATTAGAATTAGATAGTTATTATACATCGTAACACACTCTCGTCAACTCCATTCCGAGATAAGCACCGTACCATTTCTTTTTGTATTGTGCTATTAATGCAGTTTTCCTAACACGGTTACTGTGTTTCAATAAGCACAAATTCTTAAGTAAATATTCTTATCAAGTTTATTCAGAGTTATCCACCAATATTATATTTAATGCCCTTTGTCAAACTAGCAAAGTGGCCTTCAAATATACTTAACTGTATAATATGTTAAGAAATCTGCGTCTGAAAGTCTGGCTTAGTCTGAAAGTCGTGCAGTTTTCCCGGAGATGTTGCATATTGCATAGTGCTTCCCGTTTTCCATCAACTATCAGTTCAGCTCTCTTTATGGGACCCTAAGTCAAGCCAACCCACTGCTGAATACATTTAGTTACGTTAGGAAATGCCGAAAAAGCAGAATACAGAATAGTTTCAATATTTCCCTCTTTCTATGCTCATCTACCTTTCTTGCTTTGTTTGAGAAGTGTGTCCAGGTCTGTTCAACGATGGATCGGGAATTTTCTATTATTGCAAAGCTTGGAATCAGTCATGGATCCCATATTCAGATTGGATGCTACATTCAGATTTAGATTGGATCCTGAAATTTTTATACTAATCAACCGTGACTACCTAAAATGTCGCAATCCTTTTTCTTGGTTAATGATGTTTGTTAGTGTAGAGCTATCCTTCTAACTTTCAAAGCTAAAAAAACGAAAGTGCGTCACAGAAGTATTGAAGTGTACTTTCTGAAGCGGGCATTAACCAGGAGCATACCTAGTGTAATCCGCTAATCATTGTTGCAGTTATTACGAAGTAGACTCCGCTTAATGTGACCATGGTTCATGTCAACATTCGGATATTGTTTTGGAATTACTGAAGTCCCACTCACTTGAATACTGAAACATGGAAAATACACCGTTTATTGTAATCAACAAGTCGAATAATGTTATCAAAGTGCTACAGTATGATTTTCAAATTGAAGTAAGTTCCTCAAATAAGGTCAAAATATAATTTAAAAATTGCTAAATGACTGAAAATGTCACCAAGTAAGGAATTAAATCAACAAACGGATTGATTTTTATTTTAATGAACCATTTAAAATTAGGCAAAAGAACAACTTTTTGTTAGTTTAAAGTAGATTTTTAATAACTTTGATAATTTCGAAAACAATCAGACACAGCTCTCTCTTCTTCAGAGAGAAAAAGATAAGAAAAAAATCCAAGCACATGATATAATAAAATTTCTGAAAAACTTAAATAAGTGTATTCCCTATAAATGGTAATATAATGAACGTCTTCCAAGTATTAAGATTAGGGCTACAACATTGGTCAAATAATTTCTAGAAACATTAGATACAGTTCATAAATGAGTATTTGCGTATCGCTTGTATATAACCCACTAGTAACACATTTTTTTCCTAAAATGACGCAAAAATGCGTATTTATTATATTTCGAATTTATATTTGTATTAAATCAGAAGAAAACCATTGCTGACTTGAAGAATATCTTTTTCTCGTCGTTTAATGCTAACATTTGGTTAATGTTATCAAAATAGCCTTGAAAAACTTGATCACATTAAAAAGCGATACCTACAGTGATTACACCATACATCGCAACACCAAAACATTTTTTACACAAATTATTCACATGAAGATGCCTAAGAAAATACCTGAAACCGGAAACAATCTTCCTTTATAAAAATTCATTTATGTATTTGCAAAGTTTTACTAGGTAAACATAATGTTATATTTTTTTAAATTTTCTTGCTTAAAATGAAGTAATCCATCTGGCTTTTATCCCTTGTAAAGCATCATACATTTGCTTAAAAACCAGTTTCTTTTCTTCCGTATTATTTGATTAAATTAATATTCTTAGAATTCCTTGTTAATGATTTAAGCCATACCGTGATATAATGAGTTTATTTCAACCTGCTTATTCGGTTTCCTTAAAAATATTTGTTTTAGTTTCTTAGGATACAGCTTATATAATAAATGTGAATTATGTTTTAGTTTCTTAGGATACAGCTTATATAATAAATGTGAATTACACTTGGGTGTCTTGGCATATATTTATTCTTGCGTTCACCGACCAATTTCAGCATTCTCCCTAGCTTGCTTTGTTTTTAGAATGTTATTTCATAGCTCTTTTCGTTTACGTATTTCCTTGATATATTTGTTTTACACTAAAGCTTTGCTAAAAGTGCATTCTATTGCAATTGGATTAGTCCCATTTTTGGACTCCATGTTCAAAGTTCAATTAAGTCACTTACAAACATGTAAATGAGATGTTATAAAGAGGTGGCACCTCCTTGTAGGAAATGGAAAAAACTATGTTAGGCTCCCCAGTGTAAATCGAATAGGACAGAATGCACAAATGTCAGAAACTGTATCGCATAAAACGTTTAAATATTGATAGTTAAGGTCTGGATTGGATTTAACCGTGGCATTTTTACATAGACGTGCTGCATTGGAGTACGTCAAAGTGCATTCCAATTAACACTGAATCAACGCTTTACAAGACCATACGTTTGAAAGTTTTGATAGGAATGATGTCCTGCGTACTATGTAAAAAACTAGGAATTTAATTCACACTAGGAGTTTTATAAGCGGCTTCCTCATCAAAGCTCTATATTAGGATTAAAATTCGAAGTTATTCTGAAATTCCCGAAAACAAACTAAACAAATTGTCTACTTAATAAAATATGAAAACAAATGTACTCATTATTTATCGTTGCACATGTTAATAGAATTTTAAATTGCTTTAAAATGTTGGACCTTTCAAATATACTTTGTTTTTAGTAATATATAGTTATTATACATTGTGAATTAATGTAAGCATGAAACTATTTTGTTCAATTACGCAGCGAACTGTTTACTTAACTAAACCAGTTCTCCTTATTAACAAAACATTATTCAAATCGTATAAACATGAATCAAATATAAGTGAAAATGTCTCCACAACTTTGATAATGTATTTTTATTAATGATGCAAGAAATAACTCATTCGAAATAGGTATTAGCAAAATCTCAGATCATTGGTGCGAAATGTATATACATATATACGTTAATTTATCATATGTCAAGATTTCAGTTTAAATACGTAGAATATCAACATACTACCTTTACAGATGAGATAAATTACTTTCTGTCACGGTTGCAGTTTCAGACATGTGTATATCGTTGAGCTGTCAATAACAGAAGGCACTGTATATATTTTCGATTATTCGCGTGGTTTCAAAGTCTTTCGATAATCCATGCTGCATTTGACATTCAGAACTAAATTTATTAACAGATTAAAGTTTTAAAAGTTGCGATAATGGGATAAAATTTTTGCAATATGATGGTTGATTGATGAGAAAACTAGCAGCCTTTAGTGGCTATAATTCAGAAATCAATTTTCATTTTCTAGCAGAAAAATTATTTAAATCTCGCACCGCAAAACTTCAACAATTAAGAAATCGTTATAATTTTTCAAATAACAAAAAATATTAAATTTATATAATTGTAAAATGTACTTTTCAAAATCAATTAAAATTTCAATTTGCCTGGAAATAACCGATTTGTGGTAAGCTAAAATTATACAATGTTATGTCATTTTTCATTTCAGGTAAGTTACACTTTTAGAAGCACATAATATTAATTAAAATTTAAGCTTTTCGTAAAAGTTTATCAAATAATATTTTTATTGGCCTTACATTTTGTTAAGACTGAGTTGCATTTAGTTTACAGGAGCTCTGGACCCTAATCGTACTTGAAAACCGCACATCGTCGACATATCTATTATTGAATAAAGAATTTGTACATACGTGGGTATGATTATACATTCCTAGCGTCTCGGAAAAGTGGCGGCTCCTACAGCCACAAAATTTTGAACACGCTTAGTCCTCCATCCAAAAGCTACAAGAATTACAGTAATATTCATAAATTTACAAGAGTTTCGAAAGTTAAATTATAAAACTTTATTCCTCAGCTAACATTTTAACGGTAAAGGTCATAGATAATAATATTCCTTCGAGCGACAACATTCATAGAAGTAAAAAATGATGTAGAACCATAAGATCGTTTTGGGTAGCTTCACTAAAAAATATGAGCAAATAAAGAGAATAAGTTTGGTTTGTTTCACATGCATATGGCAAAGCATTTGACGGCTATCTGCCGAAGGGGAGGGAGACCTTTGTGGAAAGGTTTCTAAGGAAAACTGGCTCTTGTACACAGTTGTGCAGTGGATTTCTGATTCGGAAAGCGCTTTCTTAGATCGGAGTTTGCTCAGAAAATCGTATTATGCCTCGAATAATAAGACGAAACGCTAACCAGCAATTGTCGGAATTCGACAGAATCAAGATCGCTCCCCATCGAGAGTGTCGATTATCGTTCCGTGATATCGTCGTTCACTCTCGTT